ATATTTAATTTTTTATCTTGTGCAGTACATTTTTGCATGTCAAAGTTTACCGTTCATCGCACAAGTAGATGGGCCAATGGGTCATGGAGAGCGGCAGAGGATCTCAACAACCATTGGGGTTGTGGATGGCGGTGGATGCTTCGATCACATATGGGATTTTGCACGCATTTTTCTATCATTAGTGTCATTTGGGATTAGAGATCGAGAGTGAAAGTGAAGAGTCATCCCCATAATTTAACATTGATTTATTAATTTATTATTTATGTATGTTTTCAATTCGATTTTAATCTGGGCCAACATGTCTTTTTATTTTCCATATTCATTGTTTCTTTTTGTCACCTAAGAAGATGAGATATCAAGATGGAAGGCAAGAGTCAAGTGTTTCCATCATCCATTTTGGAATGCCAAATTCGAAAGATCTATAAGAAGGGTAGAACATATTTCAGATTTAATCTCAGGTTAGTTGTTTAATTTGATTGAAAAATTTCAAATTCACAGATTACCATCCGGTTACTTTGTGAATTAAGAGATATCCGGTTATAGTTTGAGAAATTAAAATATACTCTATGGATTGAGAAATTAAAATATACTCTACTTATTTATTAGTGTTTTTCTTGGAATAACTTATTAGTGTATTATAAATGAGAGAAATTTAAAAATATTTTTCAAAAAAATTAAACCTTTAGTGTATTATAAATTATTTTTTTTATGAAATATTGTTAAATTTCTCTCATTTTAAAATTTCAAAATAAGAAATGTTTTTTACTAATAAGAAATGAAAAGTGAACCGTTGCAATTAAAATAGAACGGGGTAGTAGGTTATTGTGCTAAATAATAGTATTTATATACTAATAATAGTATTTATATACTACGTATTAAAAAAATATGGAGGATATATCTTTAATCAGTAGAATCATATCTTTTTTTTGTCATTTTAGGGTGTCCTGCTAGATTTTTATAGTTTATGTTTTATAAATATTTTGTGATGCATGCAATATAATAAATCGTGCTGGTCTGTTGAAAAATTAAGGAGATATCTACTTATGCAAACATGCTTTGTGAATAGTAGGTTTGGAGACTAGAAAATGGGTTGAAGATCAAAAGAAAAGCAAGCAAGACCGTGACAAGGTATATGAGAAGCTAGCGATACAATGTTCGAGGAATATATGAATATGCATTATTTTAGAACAAATAGTGGGACACTAAGCTAAATATTTTACTCATACACATTTTCAATTCTTTTCTGCGATCTATTATGATTTTTATTATCACCAATTTTTTGTTATTCTGATTATTTATCTGGCTTCCTTCTGTTCCAATTAATTAATCCTCTAAAAAATATACGAGGTATTAATTGTTATACTCCGTATAATTTTTGTTTTGTGAACTGCATGTCTGAAGTCCATATTTATTTTGATTAAGATTTTGTTTGTTGTTACCAGAAATATTTAATTAAAATGAAAAGTAAAAAATGTACACGAATGTTGTAAATTATTACTCGGTAATTTCTGCCCCATTTAATAATACTCTGTAATAATACAAGTAAAGTAATGGCAAATTGTGAGCAACATTCTCAAATGTAGGGTATGTTTGATACAACTAACTTAAAAGATATTTTTAATGAGTTTCTTAATGATTAAAAAGGTATTTAAAGAAAAGGGTGAAACCTATTTTCCAAAAAGCAATATGTTTGATTTAGTTCCATTTGGTAAACATATTATAATTAATTAATGTTAAAAGTTATAGACTTTTCTCATATTTTATTCCAAGTAACTTTTCAGAAAAGTTATTTTATTTTAAAAAACTTTTTAAAACTTTCATATCAAACATGCAATTAGAAGTTTTTAGAAAGTTTTTAAATAGTACAAGGGGTAGAATGTATGAACTATGCTTGCCAAATACACTCATTACTATTCTATCACATAATTTTGACTTTTGATCACATTCTTTTTTCTATTAGTCACTATAGAAATGTGAAAGTATATCTATGTCATCATTATGATTATAATCAATATTGTTAAAATAAAGAATATGATTGTTCCGTGCATCGCACGGGTATAATACTAGTTAAGGATTATTATATGACTATAGGGCTAGGTATTGTCCATAGTTAAAGGCATGAAAGGTTAGCCATATCCAGGTTAGGGTTTGGTAAGGAACAAGGTTGGGGTTGAGTATCCCCGGGACAGTAAATGATCCTGAAACTTGGTTGAGGTTGAGTATCCGCGGGACGGTAAATGACCCTGAAACTCGGTAGGATTTTATGAATGTAGAATGTAGCTGGTGAGCTAGGCATTCGGGAATGGATGGGAAAGGTCGGGTAAGTACCTTATCTCTAAAAGACTCTTTAAATGAAAGTGGCCCACAGGTCAAGTATTTTATAAGTATATACGGTATGTATCATCTTGTGGATGGGGTAACAATGGTTACATCTATACATATATGTATCACCCTATTTTTGGGTCTCGTGTCTGAAACATTAGTTATTCCTCATATAGCCTGCTTGTCACTAGTACTTTCTATGGAGTACTGACCCCTTCGGGGGCCTCACATTTTTCAGGTTAAGGCTAGAGTCCTGCTACCTGCACCTTTGCATAGGGTGATAATCAGATAAGGAAGACGTGGTTCGTGCTTCCATTCCCATTTTGAAATTATGGATTTGCTCATGGATATTTAAAAAATGTTTTCTATTAAACTACTGAAGGGTCTGCGTGCTCATGTTTGCCACGTGTGGCTAATTATCAAACATATTTTATTTCCGCATTTGTTTAGGTAATATATTGATGTTGATTGTATGGGTTTACTAATCGGTTTGACAATAGAATCTATCGGACGCCTTGTATGATTTAATAAGAATGACTACGTTGTTCTTATTGGGTTGTACGACAGTTGTCTACGTGGCACGGATGAGGTCTGGGGCGTGACAAAAATAACAAAAGCACTACCAGTAACCATCCGCCCTTGGGCCAGACTCTGAGTTAATCACCTTTGAAAAAGCAATATAACTCGTTGATCCTAAACTGGGCATAATTGAGCCAACAATGGTTGCTGCAGAACTTTCGTCGTCACCCAATCCTAATTCAAGAGTCTTACAAATCCAAACATAACAAAAACAAAAAATAACAGTCTTAACGTGAAACTTAAAATGCAAAACAACAATAAAATAAAACCAAAATGAAGTTTCTTCAACCACAGCCTCACGCACGCGACAGGCGGGTCTAAGAGCTCAGGCCCTCCTCCTCCCCGTTTTTTTGCTTTGTCCAGTTCCATCTCCTCTCCAGCTGTGTCTTCCTGTGTCGGATCCTCCCACACTCTCTTGCGCTTCTAATCAACCGAAACCTCCCGTGCACTGCTTCTACCCTCTTCCTTTGTACCACTATTATCTGTCTCATCTGTAGTCCCTGTGCGCCCCTGTCTCATAATGCCTTCATCTTCTTGATAGACGCTCATCTGTTGACTTGGACCCACCTGTTTATCCACCAACCACTTACTACCCCTTGTGGGGCTAGTCTCCCCCCCTCCTCCTGCTCTAAGTTAACACTAAAGGTTTTTTCCAGGACAATTTCTTCCACATATTTCAATGGGCAAAATTTCTCAGAGTGTCCCATTATCCCACAAATGAAACAAAAGTTAGGTAACTTCTCATACTTAAAATCTACTCAATGTCCCTCACCTCCTTTTGACAAAGTAGATCCCTTTTTTAGGTGTCTTCTCACATCCATCTTCACCCTAACCCTCAAGTAAGAATTCCATTTTTCCTTAAAATGACTCTCATCAAAACTAATAAATTCCCTAATATAATTACTCACTCTTCTAGCAGTGCCTACATTCATAAATTTATACGGAACATTATGCACTTGCACCCAAAACTCTGCTTCAAACAAATTCATTTTATGAGGGATATCATTTGGACCAACCACCTTTAACAGTAACAAATTCCTCTCAAACAGCCAAGGACTCATAAAAAAAGTGAATAAATACCTCTTATCATCAATTTCTTGGATTGACATTCCTTTTCCTGGCCTCCAGATCGAGGCAAACAGGTCCTGCACAGCCTGAAGTCTGACTTTCCGATTCGTAAGAATTACGCCCACCACCGAGTATTCTGCCCCTTTTGCAACCGGATCAAGAACATCTTTCTCCTCATCATCAAAATTGAGATTATTGTTATTCTCTTCCAAAGCCATCCTTTTGTATTGCTCCAACTCCTCCTCCATAAATTAGAGAAAAAAGCCCTGCTGCCACCTTCCTATCTGCCGGAACCAGCCTCGCTCGACGCAGACGCCGAACGAAGCCAACCTCCGCCCCGAACCTTCGAACGCTACTGAGCACCCACCGAGCACACCACCAGCAACTCAACTCCTCTCTTCGTCCCTGCCTTATTGTTGTGGCTGAGGCGAAACGGATCGGGAAAACACGAGCCTCGGGTCCTTATTGTAAAGTGATTAGCCAATTAAGATATTGATTTTGAACTTTTAAGTAGGAATTATTTTTATTAAACACGTAAAAGCATTAACTATTATTGTCAATTTTATCAAATAAAAAATGTCACGCTTTTCATCTTGTGATAGTTTGCTTTATTAATCCAGTACATTTTTTTGTTGGGCTTTGGTCCTTTTGAGCATTTATTATTAAACATACTGCGTTTTGTGACCTTGTTTTGCGGCTTATCAGGTTTATTAGCCATGCCAAAATTTTCACGTAACATATAACTTTTGATTCACGTGCTGAATTGTGTAAAATTGATAAAAAGTAAATTGTAGTTATTTTTTCGGCCGTGTTGGCTGAAGTTATTCTAAATGATCATTTTAACTGTTTTTCATATATATATTTCTTTATTTTATTGATAATATATATATATATATATATATATATATATATATATTCATAAATCAATATAATCAGCCAATTCAACTAGAACTTCATAAATTTCAACAAAATAAACGAATACAGTCGATTTGGATATTACTAAACAGACTCTAAATGTAATGGGAGTGGTTATAAAAATGAAAATTCTCAAAATAGGAGAAAAGCAACATGTCATATTTTTTGCTTTTGGGATTAAGACTTGGATATATTGTTCTAGGAGACTTGGATATAAGAATTATCATATTTTTTTTCCATAAATAGGAGTAAAGTAATGTCATTATGAAACTATTATGTTGTTATAATTTGATCTTATCAAATATCAATCACGCTAATATTGAATCAAAGTCGCAAGTGTTGTCAAATACGGAGTAATAATAATAATTACTTTTGTTCAAGAAAAAACATACGGATGAGTAAAAATGTGATTTTTTATAGAAAGACAAAAAGTGGTCATGATATTAACTTTCAGTAACTAGGGAGTATTGCCGAGTATTAGTGTTGGACCCGGTTCGGGCCGCCCGGCCTGTGGACCGGCCCGGTTCTCAGGTCTGGGTCGGGCCTAGGCCTGGTGGGGGGGGGGGGCGGGTCCGGGCTCGGGCCTTATATTTGGCGAACCGGCCCGGCCGGGTCAGGCCCGGGTCCGGGCCGAATTGTTTTTTTTTTCTTTTTCATTTTTTGGGGTTCCACCCGGGTTGGGCTTGATGGTTAGGAGGGGTTTGGGGGGTTTGGAGGTTTGGGGGGGTGAGGGGGGGGGGTTAGGAAAGCCAAAATTTTTTTTTAACTAAACCAGAGGCCCGGCCCGCCCGGACCCGGTGGCTACCCGGGCCGGTCCCGGGCCTTCCTTCCCAAAAAAAAGCCCGGCCCGGCCCGGGTCCATGACTGCCGACTGCCTAGTATTATGTTAAATCTTACATGCCTTTTAGAACACGGCCTTGTTTTTACAGTAACAAAAATTAATTTCTTAAACTCAATGAGAATCAAACTAAAATATGACAGGAAGAATGTAAAAAACATAAGTTGATTTCTTAAACTCAATGAAGGAAAGGAAACAAGAAACAAGTTTCAATGGTATGAGATCACAAGAATTATGATGCCACTCCCAATGTAAAAGGATATGACAACATGTGAAATTATTATATATATGGAACTCAAAGAAGTTTGCCAGTGGGATGGACTAAATAAGAGAGCTGCTCAGATCATGTGTAGCCAACCGCCCCATTGGCACCGGTTGCTGCACCATTTCTGCTAGCCCGGGAATAGTTAGCATAGTAAAACTGAGACGTTATTCCGGTGAAGAAGACGAAGGCTGCTCCAGCGGCGAAAATGCCCTTCCGCACTGTCTCACAGGACAGCGTTGTTCCTCGGAAGGACGATCTGTACTTGGTGTGATAAGCATTCCTCACTGAACCAGCCAGCAGGAGTACCTCTGCTATGAAAAATGACACCCTGCAGGATGGAATCCCACTTTTTGTTGAATCAATCCAGTTTTAATTGGTTGAATCCGGTGAACTCAACGAAGTTGATGAATTTACGATTGAAATGGTTGAATATGCTAAATTATGAAAAATTACACGTATAATAAAAGATAGAACAAATCATACCATGTGAAAAAGTTAAAGCAGACCTATTCATCAAATCCAATAGCGTATTTAACCATAACTCTAATTTTACACATTTGAATTATTACAATACATGAAAATGAAAGATTATTAGATTAGTTTGTATTAAGGGGAAAATGTGATAAAACTGTCTCCAAGAAGTAAGAACCAAGAGGTAAAACAGTAAAGACTAATTAAATAACAAATGATGAATAGAAAGCTAAATATTTGAAACATATTTACATACCAGCAGATGAAGAAGAGGAAAAGAGCGCATGAGCGTGAACCTCCACGATTGAGAGGCTTCCCACAGCAGAAGCAACGGCTGGCCACCATGATAAGAGCTTGACTAGCCATCACCAATAACAAGGCACCGACTCCATACCCAGTCGCAATGTCAGATGCATACACGCAGTAATCAAACTTCTGTTCTGCATCGCTCTCAATCTTTGCCTGTAAATTTCCCCAACAAATGATAATTACAACTATGCACTAAAGCTGATGATGTTTAAATTAAATACTGTGTGGTGTATAGTATTTGAATCAACGCAAGGAAGGAAATGAAGAGGCCGTAGTCACAACTCAAGCAAGATTCACATTTATTTAGGTTATTACAGTGCTTCTTCTGCGCTCGGCTGCAATCGCCAAACCAAAAGCAATTAGATCAAATATAAACACAGTGATCATTAACAACTTGGAAGCCATGCTTGAGTGAGTGGAGAATTTCGACTCGGAGATTAGGTGGAGAAGAGAAGGTTCATTCGGTTGACACAGATCTCGATTTTCAGATCTCAATCTCTCTCTTCTCTCACTCTAAATATCTACCTAATGTCGGTCAAGATATAATTTTTCACTCCCGGTGACAGCATCATAGATTTCATTCTCCACCAGTGAAACACTGAACTTCCCCTCCATCTTAAAATCTCAATGTTAATTTGAATAACTTCTAAAAGAAACGGCAAAAGCGCAAACGGCAAAGGTTATGGTAGAAAATTAAACGTTTTTACCCTCTTTGTATCCACTCTTATATCCACTTTTGTACCCACTATGTCTATGAGGAGTTTTGTTTTGTATGCGAATCGGAGTCATAGACACAAAAAAACTCCCCACAGGCATTACGGGTATATATGATGGATATAAAAGTGTGTACAAGAAGAAGCTCTCTGGTTTAAAAGTTGGGGTACACTAGCATTTCTCATTTTGGTTTTGACACAATTTTTAATAAATTGATTGTAAAGGTAAAATTTGTGGTTGAGATTTGAGTATAATAGAGTGAAATATTGTCAATCATACATTTCTTTCTAAAAAAGGAAATGTGACACTTATTTTAGGACAATCCAAAAAAGAAAAGTAAAACAGGTAAAATTGGATGAATGTAGTACTATATCCGTTCCACTAACATTGTGATATGAGGGGTAAAGCAATTTTTAAGAAAAGTGAGTATGTGGTTGACATTGGATTGATAAAATAAGAGTAAAGTAAAAATGATTAGGATGTTTTACTTGGACTAAAATTTTCTAGTCTGATCTTATCTTGTTTGGTTTGGTCTGGTCTGGTAAATGTTTGGCATCTCTGTATTTTATAACTATCCAAGTCTAGTTTGGTCTGGTCTGGTAAATGTTTGACATTTCTGTATTTTATAGCTATCCAAGTCTAGTTTGGTCTGGTCTATTATTTTTATCGATATTTATAAGTGACTACTATTATAAATAGAGTTTTTATCTATATATATATTGTTGAGTTTAATCCAACACGATATAGTAAATATATGTATGAACACTCAGTTTTTACGTGGAAACCCGAAAGGGAGAAAACCACGGGACTTTTTAGGCTAATGTCCAAGCTCTCTCATTCTCATTAGACTCTCCTCACCATTACATAGTACAAGTATTGAAGCTCCCATTAATGGAGTTCTATCTAATCTAGAGAGCTAAAGGAAGAAGGAAAAGATCCTTTACATGGAGGGAAAACCTCCTATAAATAGGGAAAGGGGTGAGGGAAGTACTCCACCCTAATGGGCCAAACGGGCCGATGTCGGGCCCAATGGCCAAAGTGGGCCAGAATGGGCCGAAATGGACCTAGCTGCTCGGGCTCCGTACTGGATAATGTCTTGGGCTCCTGAACAGTAATAGGCCGGGATAATATATCCCAACATATATATATATATATATTACTAATACTAGTTGAGTTTATATGAGTAATCTTCCGGTCAGGTATACCTGACCGGAGCCGCCGTCCGGCCTCCTCCTTTTCGGGGCCTTCCCGGTGGTATTTTTTGCTCAAATTTTTTGTGTATGTTCCTCATCAAGTCTAGTTCATCCATACCAAATTTCAGCAAAAAATTCAATCGGGAAGGTCGTCAAATGATTTTTGCAAGTTAACTGGTCCGAATGAAATTTCAGTAAATTTCAGCAAGTTTACTGAGCTCGTTGAAATGGATTAAGAGGAAAAGACAAGGCTCGGGGATCAAAGCTAAGGCGGCTAGGATTGCTTTTTGCTACTCCATCTACTGGATCTGGAGAACCCGGAATGCTACATGCTTTGATGGTCTTGTTCCCAAAGAAGAAGACGTTTTTGCGAGAATTCAATACATTGTTTACAAGATTTTGTATAGTCTTTATCCACATGAACTTGTAAAGTTGTGACTTGTTGTGCCTAACCATCTCTTGGTTTGGTTTGGGCGTTTCTTGTGGCTGTTTTTTGGGCTTGTTTGTGCCTCACCAACGCTTCGTTTTGGTGTGGGGCGTTGCTTGTTTTGAGCTCTTTTGCTGGCTTTGGGTTATCCATGTTGGATAACCTGCAGTTTTGTTTCCCTTTTTGTTTGTACATTCTGAACCTCTGTTTTCTTGGGTGGTTATTCTAATATACTTACAGTTCATCCAAAAAAAGAAATAACAGTTTAGTAAATGAGGTAGGGAAATGAATAGAAATTAAAGAATATAGTAGTGTAGTAATGAATCAGGGTGGTAGTAAGTGATTGGTAAGAGCAGTGCCGACTACCCATTGTGAAGGTCGATACATACGATCTAGGTGTCTAGTGATGTATCCATTGTGTTTAAAAACATGTCTGATATCCGCGAGTATACATCATGCTTTTTGTGTGAGATATTATTACTACCGGTGATTATTAAAAATCATTAACGACAAATGGTCGAAGTCATCAAGTACACAAAGTTGTGATTTTTTTTTTTGCAGCAACATGGAAGCATTGTTAGTCACAGTGTTGGTAGGGGATGGTTGGGGTGAAAAGAAGGAATTTCAAACCAAATCCATGCATGTTATGGTCCTCAAGTCTTCGACAAAGTATGAAGATCTAGTGGCACAACTAAGGGATTTATTAAAAGTTGATAAAGAGGACCAGAATTCATGAATCTCATACCTTTTTGATGAGGCTTTTACACCTACAGTTGTGGACAATGAAATGAGCCTGCAGTTCTATTGGTGAATTTGGATCAAGACAAAAGTACACAAGATGCAAGCAACATGGGCATAACCAAAAGACTTGTAATAACCCGATACCATTGTAAAAGATGAGAGATTGTGTTGCAATACTTCCGTTTTTATTTGTCATTTTTCCCCAGCAAACTGGTAGTCATCAAGATACTAGAGGATTTCATATTTCATTTATGCACTTGAAGTATGGTTTTAGTTTATGAATGAAAGTACACTTGAACTATGATTTTATATACTTGTATTTACACAACTGAAGTTAACATTTCAGAGCATGAAAATAGTTTAGGTAATATAGTGTGAAGTCATTATTGCCAGAATTCTAACATTGCATTTATTCCCAAGTAAGGGGGCATGAGTGTGACTTGAATGGCTGCAGCGTGATGTTTATGTCCATAAATTAGTGAATATTTTGCAAAGAGATGAGAAAAGTTAGTGGGGTTTTGGATTTGTAGTACAAGACATACAAGACTGCAATATACATAGTGAGCAATAATTTTTTTAACAGATCCTTTATGATGAAAGTCAAGGAACTAGTCTGGAATGATATTTTTTTCATACTCCCTCCGTCCCGTTGGAATGTTACCGTTCACTATTCATTAGTCAACTTAGGTCACTCCTAGTCTTTTACTTTAAATATCAAATTTTTATCAAATTGAACTTTTCTTGATCAGGCTTTGTAGCGGTTTTAATGTAGTTTCTGAATATGTAAATTTTATTTATTAAAAATAAGCGGAGTGTGAACAGGGATCAAGTTGCTTTATCGTCAGTCAAGCATCGTAAACCGAACGGGAACATTCCAACGGGACGGAGGTAGTATGATTTTTACTTACTGCATTAGTAGTAAGAAGGGGGTTTTATTGCAGAGAATAAACATTTTGAATAACTGACGTTCTCTTGAATTGCAATGAATAGTCTCCAAGATACATAACATAGCAACAATTATTACAAGTTGTAGTAATTTCCAAGGAAATGGAAGAGTATTCAAAAAAACATCAAAGGTGAGGGGGAAGGGGGGCACTAGTGCCAATACACTGGCAGGAAGCAAGGTGCGGGATAATTCAAATTCAAATAACTAATACTTGGTAGATGAAAATTAGTTAAACTTCTTTATTGACGTTCATCTTCAAAAGCTACTCGTCTTCTCCCTTTCGATCCCCATATTGATAGAGGTCGTGAGCCCACTTTGCCCGATACTCTGGAATCTTTGATGAACAGATTTTTTGTATATCAATGCCCATCTGTAGAACTTCTGCAAATTTTAGCATAAAGACAACACAATCTCCCCTGCAAGAAATTTAGTAGTTAAAATATGAGCAAGAGTAAAGAAATTTCACATTGATGTAATGATTACCCAGTTTCTTGATGCGGTACATCTGTAACGACTTCAAATTTGTATGACGGTGCGTCCTTGAATGGTGTATTTTGGTTGTGGGCCTTTAGTGTAGCTACAACCTTGGGAAGGTAATGAATTAAGCCACGCAAGTACTCAAATGGACCAAATGCTTTTTTTTACAGAGTTCCACTTGGTGAGGTTCTAACTTCTGCTTTACTAAAGACACTGAGTCAAAGAGCCTAGAAAATGTGTTTACTTTCCTGTTCTTTATCTGCTTATAGACTAAGGACTTCTTCACCAGCCTCTTGTACAAAGTTAGTAACTAATACTGTCAAAGTTGGTGATGGGGAGGGAACTAAATGTATACAGATGCTATGCACACTTACATGCTTAGGCTTATGTGTGGCTGGGACTTTCACGGATGATCGCAATACTGGTGTTGAAGATGGTGGAGGAGCCGAGGAGTAGTGAAATCATCAATGTCTTCCATGATCTGATTCACAAATACATAGAAATAAGAGCAACATTCAAAGGCATTTTAAATTCTTCTTCTACTTCTATTTTTTTTGCTACTTTCTCTCTGTGAATTGTATTTTGGCTGAAGCTTTTATCCATTTTTCCAGTAAGTTGGCTATGTGCTACTTAAACTTACCTGGGTTTCTTAGAGTTAATGGTAGAAGCACCAGGGGTAGGTTTCATTTTCCAAATCGCCAAGGCTTATATTCTTCTTAGAGACACCAAACCTTTTTTCCCTGAATTCATTTTAGCTAAAAGTGGAATGAAATCGTCCATTTCGAAAACGTTTATTTTAGCTAGAAAAGTTTAAAAGGATGTTGTTCAATATAAGAATTTATCGAGTAACCAAACAATTTACTTCAGAAAGCATGGAATCTACTATCACATACAGCCAATATCGTTTTAACTAAAATGAAGACCCATTTGTGAAATTCAGACAATCACAGAGGACATAACATATTGTTAAGTTTCGAAACCAATTCATTTCAATGGTTTCCATTAGCAGACAATTATTATAAGATTATAAAATGAGTATGGAAGATTACACTAAATATTGGTTCTAAAAGTGAAACGTAGCAGAGAAGAGGATTACACTAACAGTAGTGATTCTTACCGTGATTCTTGCCGCCTCACCTAGCATTCGAACAGGG